TGACCGGGAGCTGTTGCTGGCAGGGACATTCCACAGACCCATCCGTAAAGTGAGGGTGCATGTAATGCCGAAAGCTGAAAGAGTTGTCTGCCCGGCGGCAGTTGTCGGCCAACTTGCGGATCCTGACGCAGACGTTCGAGTGCATGTGCAACGATAAATACTAGATGCTGACTGAATCCTTGCGGTGCAAGGCAAAAAACACAAAGCAAGCAAGTGCACTCGTTCAACCTGTTCAATCAACACCAGAATGCATCAATTCAATCTCTGACCAATCGAAAGCCAGAGTTGACGCAGACACCAGTCCTGTCAAGGACCAGGTCCACGATCTCTTTGCCGATCGTGTAATGTCCGCGAGCGAAGTTGTTGGCCTGGGAAATCGCTGGTCCGCTAGTCCACAACTCGAGACATGCAGATAGATGTCACAAACATGGGCCAACATGATCAGATCCATCAAGTGACAGCATCTTCTTTGCCAGAAATCAGCTGCTCCGGATGGAAAAGCTGTCGGTACGTACCGGTGCGAACTTCATCCACGACCGTAGGCTCAAGATCCTGAGCGGTATTATTATTTTAGTCAATGGCTGGCCATTAGGTTCCTCGACATCGAAAGGCTCCAAAATGATCTGCGCGTTCTTGCGGGACGCAGCACTCTTGCAGGATGTCATCAGGGCACTACTTGTGGTAGGAACTGCACTAGCAGGTAGTGAAACCACAGCCATCCTCATCACCTTCGGCACTACGGCACGATGGTGATATGCTGATGGTGATGATGGTGGTGATGATGACAAAAATGACGGTATCGCCGGCTTCGGACATGCAGCCTGCAGCACACACGGCTGCCGGCGCCACATGAACCCGGGATACCATCACTGCTGCTCCCGCTGTGCAGGCTCGCGAGGCACGATGCACACCAGACGCTGCCAGGCCGGAAACCCAGCAGGAAACCCGGCAGGAGCCCCGCAGCACCCGCCGCCGACAGCTACGCCGACGATGACAACAACGACGACGGGATCGGCTTCTACGGCACCCACACCACTGACGGCAACGACCTCCACGGTGACACCGAGCCACCAAGTGCTGGCCCTACCGGATCCAGGCCAAGGCCACAACACCAGCCTAGGGGGCGGACTGGATGGCGACCACACCGACGACCTCCCCACGGCTGCAGAAGGAGATCCGGCTGGAAGCCACATAGGTTAGGGCTTTCGAGCCGAGCATGAGGCAGCCCTACGGGGCGCTCATGCACTTTCTGATGTGCAAAAGCACAGCGCCACGGCGCCGGGCATATATTGTGCCTGTCACGTTCAGCCTCGCAAGGCGTTTCTTCGAGACGCTGCGAGAGAGAGAGAGAGAGAGAGAGAGAGAGAGAGAGAGAATGACGGTATCGGCAATGATCATGTTGATGGCAATGTTTGACATCTGTTGGTTGTTTATCTTAGCCATCTGACTCTCGTTGGCGTATTGTCGTCAATACCTTGTTCTTGTTGCCGCTCTTTCTGGGCTCCTTCCTCTTTTCTTCAATACCAATCCGGATCTTGTCTTCTTCATCCGGCCTCCTCCGCATCAACATCATCATTACTGGCAACACCATGGTCGTAACCCGGCTGCTGGCAGCACCGTACAAAGCCCGTTGCTTGGCTCTCTTTGCGCGTTGCAGAGCGCGCTGAAGTCTCCTTCATGCCTAGACGTGTCTCCAATTCTACCAAGGGACCACTCTTGCCGTACACGCTCGAATGACATGACATGTGACATGTATGTGTCGCCAGCAGGGCTGCAGATCGACTAAGCTCGAGTCCACCATGACGCAGCGAGGGACATGCTTTCCGGCGCCCGTTTCCGAGAAGAAAGTATTAAATGCGTCCTCACGGGGCTGTGTTCAGCACTTTTGCATTGATTCGACCGTACCAGGCTGGACCAAAAAACGTAAAGCTTACTATGCCCTTCACACATGTTACCACGAGCAAGCGGCATCTCCGCCACCGATGGTCTTGTCCTCAGCTTCATGCTCCCATGTCCAGCTTCACTGAGCCTGTTGCCCCGCAACTACTTGTTTGGAGAGAGATGCGCCTCTGAAGCCTGCGGGCGAGCGTCGCTGGGCATCTGACCATCCGGCTGGATGCCATGCTCGAGGCAGAAGAGCTCCCAGCAGGCATTTCCAATCTGCACGCCACCCTGCAAGTGTGGACAAGGCCTACGGCTCCATCGAGACTTTGGAACTGGAGTTCAACCGCATCGCTCGTGTCTTGCTCTCATTTGCTCGCGCCTGGCCGATGTGGATGCAGATGGCCTCACGCATGGCTGCGAAGATCGGCGACAGGCGCGACAGTTGCTGAACTGGCGAGGGGCGTCACACGCTGAGCCAACAGGACGAGGCCGGCCGCACAAGATCTGTGCAGGATTGCTCAGGATTGGACATCCTTGGCCTTAAACTTCAGCCGAAATCACACTCAAAGTGGCCCTTCAAACTAGGGAAATGCTGCAGTTCATCCTGGGATAAAGCCGATTGAGGAAAATTCAGACGACAGCCATTCCGACTTTTATGTTGGAACCAAGGGGAGCACTCCAGTACCAGGTGTTGTGGCCAAGGTGGAGCCTGAGCGGTTTCTCGCCCCTCGACAGAAGCCCAACAGGTCGAGACAAAGCCAATTGAAACAAAAAAGCAAAAAGCATCGCATCAGAGCCAAGCCCGAGACCAACAACGTTGCGAAAGCTTGCCACCTAAGTCCCTGCCATCGAACCCCGAATTGCGCCCTGAAGCCTGAGACCCTGAGACCAAATCCCAAGACTGGATCCAGCCCTGAAGCCTCAGACGTTAAATCGTAATTCAAGCATTCGGGGGTCTCTGCCTCTGCGCTACCTTGCTAGGCTGGCCAAGGGGACTTTCAGAACATGCGGACCCCAATGGAAGAATCGTTCTACCTGTACAGAAGAACGCCCACTATAAACCCTCTGTGAAACCCTCAAGTAGCTCCGTAAATCCCACCGACTGCGTCAGAAACTGCTGGTTCTCTTAAACCCCCCTGAGCCACCCTTAAAGGAGAGAGCGATCTCTGTGGCCGGTGCGAGAGGTCGGGCTACGCTGGGCTGGTGGAGCCTTGGGGTCGTTTGGTTTCTCAAAGTTTCTTAAGGTCTTTTCCAGGCGTGCTTAGGACTTGGGGGTGGGCTTGCGGTTTGTTTCTTATCTCTTTTTCGGTTTTCTGTTTCGCTTCCTTGTAATGGTTGTACAAGAGGCCTCGCAGGGCTCAGGTCTTCGCAATTTCTGAGGCACTTCAGGGATTGGAGTCAAAGCCCCATCAGGCCAGGGCCCTGAGGAAACCCAGCGAGACTGCGAAGTCTTCCGGCCCTTACATGGCAGGCTTTCCCGACGGCGCTGCTTCATGGCTCTGGGGCTCGGGGACTGAGACGCCCCGCCACCCAAAAGTCCTAAAGATAAAAAAATAATTCCACAATCCGATGCTCAGCTTTTGGGGGATTTCGGCCACGCTTCTCCAAGCCAGAGAAACTCCACGCTGCACCCAGCTCTCTGAAACTGTAAGCGGTCGAGTCTGAGTCCCATCTCCCCAAGAGCTTACACCTGCGTGCATTCTCTGCCCGGTGCCTTCCCGGGAGTCGTCACTTTCCGACGCCTGGGCCCCATGGAAACCCTTTACAAGGACGTGCGGCTTCGCGTCTGAAGCTTCTTGGGCTGCGGCCTATTTTCAGGTTGGGATGTAGCCGCTATCGCCATAAGATTCAAGAAATTCCGGTTGAAAGGTGATCCCGAGTCAGGGCCTGGAGCATGTCCGATTCAGGGTTACAGCTACGGGTAGGCCTTTGGCCTCGCATACGGTCCCAAGAGCTGAGGATTTAAGTTGTCGGCTGCAAGGTGTAGCTTAACATGAATCAAGAAAGCCAGCGAGATGCCGCAAGAGGGCCTAAGCAGCGATGGAAGATGCCTTTCTTTTTGTCAGTGTCTGATCTTCTGTCAGGCCTGACTACAGGCCCGAGCAACGTCACGACACCGGAAAGCTGTGGCCGTTTGACGTGGCTCCGTCTGGCTCCTACTGTGCGGTCGGATTTGCGACAAGAGTATTTGGGCGGGAGGCACGTGAGCTGCAAGACCTGGGATGCTCGAACCGCCCTCTTCCAGACAAGGCCACCCCAACATCCCAAATGCAGAAACACTAACACGTCAAAAACTCTACCCCTGTTCCTTAAATCCCTCAATGCTGTGCCCTGGACCCCAAACATTTTCACCCCTGAAACCTTGGTTCTCAATTTGATTTCCCTAGAATCCCAGACCCTGCACCCTTCAACCCCGAAATCGACTACATACAGAGCCCTCTGCCGCCTAGGCGGAGGCCGCGGTGCCGCGGCCGACCGGGGTGATGGAGCCGGGACTCGGAAAGGAAGTATCATGCTATTAAATCTCCTATATTAGATTGTATTATTGTGTACTGTATGAGACTCAAGAAAAGTGACTTCGCTGAGGAGGGTTGGGGGTCCGGAGGGTTTTGGGGGTCAGGGCCAGTCTAGGACAGGGTGGAGGGGGGGGCGTGGCGTGGGGGGGGGGGGGGGGCGAAGCAATAAGCTGAACTACATGATGCCCAAATCCCTCCACCTGAGAACCCAAACAAAGAAACACACACGCTCACAACCCTAAATCCCTAGACCCAAACCTGGGAACCTATGAACGAATAGAAATCTCCAAAAGACCATAAGGCAAGTTCGAACATATGCCACAAAATCCGTTTGGTGCTGCCAAACCCTGCGGCCAAGTCTACGACTCTTAAACGCAACTTGCCTCTGACGCTGAGCTTCCTAGATTTTCGACAACCGGGCGTTGCTTAACCCCAAACTGCTCACAGACGGGATCCCCAAACCTTAAAACACCTTTCCGGCTTGATCATTCCTGGGGTTGGTTTTGCTGTCTGGCACACCGTTGTCGCGCCGACAAGTAGGTTGGGGTCTTTTCGGATGGCTTTGCCAATCCGAGAAGGCCCCAAAAACCAAGGAGACCTCGAAGTCTTCGTCGACGCCCTTGGCCCTAGACACCAAAATAGGTAAGCTGTGGTCCGGATGATCCGAAAGACTCCTGCCACGTCAGCAGACATGCACTCTCCATGCATCTGTCTAGCAGGTGTAGCTGTTAGCAGGCAGTGGCGAGGCAGTAGGCAGCAGTGAGGTAGTAGGTAGTTGTGAGGTCGTAGGCTTTAGGAAGTAGGCAGCAGGCAGTCTGCAGTAGTCAGTGGTCGTGTTGATGGCAGTAGACAGTAGTAGATAGTACTAGTAGTACTAGTACTAGT